TAAATTAAACAGCATATTACAGTGACCAAAAGATTTGTAGTATTCTTTTACGAAAAAAATGGTAGCATTTAGTTGCTCATTGTTCAAAATATTGTGAACAGATTATAAACATGTTACTGGAATGTATTATTTCCTATTTTGTTGTTCTCGGGTTCATCACTTTGTTTCGGTGGATTTTGAAAATGCGTTTTTTTCTTCATCTTCACTATGTAGAGGTGTTTTCATTATGAATTTTCCTCTGCAGAGATTTTCAGCTGGTTGCTATTTTGAAAAAAGAGTCATTAGTATGGATGGTTTGTTAAATTTAACTTAAAATAGTAGGACATATAAAAAAACAGATGGGGGCATAAGCTAAGGCAGAGCTTAGTTGTGATTCTGAAGGTGCACATAAAATCCTTATTTCCCTCTATTTTCATCTACTCCATCGGATGCAATGTAAGAGCGACTAAATTAGTGCATTTCCCTCTATTTTCATCTACTCCATCAGATGCAATGTAAGAGCAACTAAATTAGTGCATTCAAACAAACTTTTTTCCTCACTTCAGTCATATGCCAATATATCTTAATGATTGTTGTGTTCCTTTCAAGTGCAAATATAAGGATAGTATAGTGGCACAAGTAAGGGTGTCGAACCACAGGAACTGATTAGACCTCTACAAATTACAAGTTTTATGTGAACCCTAACAAAACAATGAAACTAACAAATTGAGTTTGGATTTTGATTTGAAAGGTAAAGTAACTTAAAATGCAAGAGAATGTAAATATGAATAATAGAATGATTCATAAACGATGGGAATGGAACTAGGGATACCGATTTCACCATTACAAGCCAATGCCATGAAAATTAAGTCAAAACGCATTCAACTCTCCAATCTGCAACTAGGGTTCGTTTCAGATCATCCATTTGATGTGTGGTTGTGATCAAGTACTCCTAATCTACAACCTAGTTGTGATGTTCAACTTAGATTACCAAATAAGAATCCATTAAGAACAGGAAAACTTCCAAGAACCAAAGAAATCACATGGCAGGATGTATGCATAGCAGTTTCTTCATTCATTCACATGTCTACCAAGATTAAGCATGATATGTACTATAACCTTGATCAAATAATCTGTAAGAAACCTTAATGGTGATCAAACATTAAGATAAATAAACAAATTGAACTATAAAATCAGTGAATGAAACAAGAAAACATATTGATGAATCGAATACTTTAACTTAATAACATAGAGTAGGTTTGCAAGGCTACATCAAAATTCCCAACGACAGAATATATGAATATCAAGAACAACATAAGCGAAATTAAATTCATAAAAAAACCCCTTGAAGCAATTCTGATGTGGAAATCCTTCAAGAATAGCGCGGCTATGTGGTTTCTTCGGTGGCAGCGGATGGTGAAGGGAAATAGGGTTTTGTTTCTGGAAGAAAAGCCAAAGAAAGAGAGGAGAGAGAGCTCTGGGCGACCCCAAGGGAGGCTTGTGAAAAAGTGATATGAAACCCTAGTATTTATATGGTAAATGGGGCTGCAGCTGATTGCAAGGTGATCCCAACCATTAAGCCAAGGTTTTGAACCTTTTCCTTATTTGGCTCCTCCAAATTAGGCTAGATATTCCAATTTCTTTCTCATTCTGCCCTTGGTCTTCTAACCAACCAGATTCGCTTTGAATTCTTTATTTGGGCATCAAAACAGGCCACTAAACTTCTTTCCACGTTTGAATAAGGGTCAACCTCAAAAATTGCACGTTTTCACTTCTTTTGCCTTCAAATTGATCATAAAGTACATGTAACTGCATACTAACATAAAATAAGGTAAAATGCAACCAGTTTAACTCAAAAACATCACAAAGAGACTAGAAATGGATGGTATAAATGCAAGAAATATATGAGTTATCAATGATACTAATTAGACGGAGTTGGAAGTTCAAATAAATCATATTTAGCAATAAAAACAGTAAAATGAACATAGAGGATCAATCAACATCTACAAACAAATGTATATGTAGAAATTAAAACACTAAAGAAGGTATATAATCTTTATGATGAAGATGTAATAAACTGTTTCAATTAGTTTCATGAAGGAACCATATATATATGAAGGAATTCTGTGTAAAGGCACATTCACACCACCGACATTTTTTAAATAAATACAATCTCAAATTCACTCTAGCATTTCTATCTTGGAAGGCAATGTTGTGAATAAATTTATTAAATAGAAGAAAAAAAGTACAAACAAAGGGCGGGTGGGCAGGAACCTTACCACTCATAAAAAAATATAGCTTATTGAGCCAGTACAGTCTAAGAGACCAGAATAATAACTATACATGTAGAGAAATTCACATGCACAAGCTAAAGTCAGTGAAAGATAAAAAAAAAAAAAACCAAATATCTTTCGCTCCACACAAAGAAAACAAAACATCAAGGACCAAACTAGCAAAACCAAAAATTCGATCATGAAGAAAGGTTATGAATGGAAGCAGAAATGCACAAGGAGGACAAGAATAAACTCCCAAAATTATTCACACCGAAATTAGCCAAACAATCAACAATTGCATTACCCTCTTGGAAAATATGAGTGGCATGAACCTGCATGGGGAGAAAAGAGCAAGGTAATTAATCCAACGAACACGCAAAAGCCAATGAATCTTGCAAGAAGCAGAAGAAAGAAAATTGACTACTAAAGAAGAATCGTATTCAATCCACAAAAAGTTTTAACCATTTTCCTACCTAAATCCACGGCATGAACAACCGCATGCAACTCCGCATCTAAAGAAGAAGCAATTCCGATTGAAGCTGCAAAACAGCCTAACCTATTGCCAAATTCGCCAAACCAGGGGCACCACGAGCGGCATCATTAGGTTAAGTGAGCAAAAGATGATATATACTAATAAAATTGACCAAGCCGAATTAACAAGGGCAGTTTAGTTTCTGAGTTTTTGCTTTAGTTCGATCAAAATTTATTATAATACGCTCTTGTGCAACCAGTTAAGAGGGTACTTAAGATTTAAAGAACTTACGGCTTCAATGAGGAGGCCATTGATCCATATACAGTACAAAAATATGTTCTGCCCCAAAATTATCACAAGTATCAGCGACAAAGTTTGCTTCTCTTTCTCTTACGACAAGCACAAGAAGATAGAGATTACTAGAACTTTGCTGTTCGTCCAGCTCAGCATCAACTTGTTATAAAATTGGTTGAATACTGGTTACATGCTTAGCTGGCAATCCCTATCTTATGTACTCATATCTCTCCCACTTTCTCTCTTCCATTCAGATACGCCAGTGGACATTTTTGATAGTTGCCACTGATGAATGCAAGGATGAGGAACTGCATCACTCCCGGCAGGTTTGCAAATGACGAGGCCCTTCTTGGTGGAAACTCCTCCGGCGGTGGCATTCTCTGTGAAGCCGTCGCTAGGCCTGGCGTAGAGTTTCTCCAGCGCTATGGAGGATGAGAGAACTGTAGAGGAAGCTCTGAGAGAGCCATGAGAGTGTAATGGTCAGAAATTTGTGGTATGAGAGAAAAAGAGGGAGGACAGAGAGAGTGAGGGAATGGACTACGTCTATAACAATTAATTGAGCCACCAAGGGCCACGGCTTCATCACCCCCAACGAGGAAATGTAACCATATTAATAACATACATGTCATTTATTATTTAGTTTACCATATCATGTGACATAAAATCTAGTCTATAAAAAGATGCTGCTATTTGTATTTTAAAAATGTCATCTTGCATTCTTCTCGTAAAAAATAATATTTAATAAGTGTATGAATTGATTCTAGATGATTAACTTGTATATACGCCAATTTTGGTCAAGAGTACTTTAAAACGACATCTTTGTATTCTTCTATAATAAAATTACAAGTGCATGATGAATTTTTTAATGTTTCTGGCCAGATGAAGCATATTATATGGAACTTTGCTCTCCTATGCTTCAAAGAACAAAAAAGAGTGGTAAAAATTTAACTAATTCTCATTTAGTTACATAGCAATAGTTCATTAGTTAATAAAAATGTGCGGTGGAGAATTTCTGATAATACATGTACTTGAGTGATGCTCTCCTGTGCATCAAACCACAAAGGGCAAAGGTTGAGATTTAACCAAATCTCAATCGCCCACTCGTGAAAAATAATGTGCTGAGAAAATTCCCGTATGTACATTTTTTTTTTTTTTTGGAAATTCGGGCAAGGTTGCCCATAAGATGAACCACAACCAGCATTACAACACAAGGGCCCAAAATGTACAACACAGAGGCCCAAAAACAAAAAACACAAACAAACAACAGAAGCCCAATCAAAAGGTGAGACTAAAGCAAAGAAACACAAAAACAACCGGAGCCGACGCGATTTCCGCCATAGCCGCCGCGGCAACCACCAAAATCGCAGCCGTGCATGTCGATTTAGCCAAAGTCGCACCCCAAACAACACCGCGCCTCACCGAAATCAGCAACCAACGCCAAGCTTCACTCCAAGGCCAGCTACAGACACCAGAGAATTGACAGCCAAGGGAAAGAAGCTCATGGCAGACCATGAGCAACACTGCCAACAAGGGCAGACAACAAAGAGAAGGTGGGGGTGCAAGGAACACCCAACCCAGTGCAAGCACCAGATCAAAGCACACCAACTCAAAACATCGCAACAAAGTGCTACAAAGGGAGACTGAAGCTTGGAAGTTGGAGGAAGTCAGAGGAGAGATAGCAAAGGGGAGAGAAGAAGGCAAATCGGCCAATAAACCCAGGGAAGAAAACGGCGAAAGGAAGAGGAGAAAGAGAAGGAGAAAGAAACAAAAGAAAACCCACCGATCCCAGCCGGAGCTAGGACCGGTGGCGCCGGAATTAAACGCGATGGAGAAACACTCACACAGATCGGTGAGAATAACCCTCACACAGAGGGAAGGTCTCTCACGGAGAGAGAAAGGGAAAAGTCTTCCCGTATGTACATTTGGCAAAAAAAATGTATAGTATGCGTACTATGGAGGCCCAATCATATAAACCAAAAGTACACTCGATCCGACCTGCGGGTTCAGCATCCGTTTGCTCATCTCTATAAACTGATGCTCTTCCCTTTGAGTTTCAAAGACAAATTCGAAAGTGGAGGTTTTAGCTTCAATGCTCATAAACCTCAGAAGAAGAATAACCATTCTTCCATTTCACACAAATCCTTCACCCTCCATTTCTCTGAATCTCATCTCAACTTCCACACAAATCCCACGCTCGGACTCTACAAATCCCCTATCAGAATCCCAACTCAAATCCTTAGTTCTAAGCCAATTCAGCCATGGCAAATTCACAAACCTCCTCCAAAACGTCGTCGCTTTGCCCGCTCTTCTCCTCACCGCCTGCCAAAACCTCACTTCCCCAAAAACCCAGAACGGCAACGGCCTCAGCCCCTCCCTTCTCGATTCGGTTTCGAAGCGGTTCTCAATCCACGAAATGGGTCGGCAGCTGTGCGAGAATCGGTTTGATGTCGGAGCTCGCAGCGTTGCAATGGCGGCCCAGAGAAACAGAGGTGAGTCTTTGGTATTGCCTAACTTGAAATTGAAGGTTTTGATTGAAGCTATTAGGATGGTATTGGGAATTGTTTATGATGAACGTTTTGTGACATTTTCTTATGGTGGTCGTGTTAATATGGGACGTCATACTGCCATTAGGTACCTTAAGAACTCTGTAGAAAACCCCAGTTGGTGGTTTAGTGTTGGATTTAACCGCGAAAAGTTTGATCAACGAAATGTGAATAAGTTGTGCTTATTTATGCAAGAGAAGATAGATGATGAGATTTTGATTGATGTTATAAAGAAGTTGTTTGAATGCGGCGCAGTGAGAATTGAGTTGGGTAGTTGTTGCCTTGGAAGAGGGTTTCCTCAGGAAAGCGGGTTGACTTCGATTTTGATGAATATCTACTTTAATGGGTTTGATAAAGAAATTCAAGAAATGCGTCTGAGGAAGAATCAAGAGCATCCGAAATTTGTTTCGAATGAACTTGTGTCGAAGCATGATGTGTTTTATAAGCCAGTGAAGATATATGCGGTTAGATACTTGGATGAGATATTAATAATAACCTCTGGATCTAAGATGTTGACAATGGATTTGAAGAACTGGGTTGTGAAGTACTTAGAGGGAACACTGGAATTGAAGGTGGATGGGCTAAAAACAGCTATTCATAGCGCAGTTTCTGAGAAGATTGATTTTATGGGGATGGAATTACAGGCAGTTCCGCCTTCGGTTTTGAATCCCCCCATGTCAGAAAAGGCCACCAGAGCACGAAAAAAGTACCTAAGACAGAAGGAAGTCAAAGCTCTGGAATTGAGAAATGCCAGAGAGAGGAACAGGAAGAAATTGGGATTGAAAATAATGAGTCATGTTTATAAGAAGTTGAAGAGAAGTAGTGGGTTTAAATCTGAACATCAAATTGAGAATGAAGTCAGGGAAATCTTCAGAACCTGGGGTGGCGAGACAGTGCAAGAGTTTCTTGGGTCGTTGGAGGAGCATTGGGAATGGTACCATAAATTATCAGCAGGTGATTTTCTCTCTTTGAGGCACATTAGAGATCAACTGCCTCAAGAGCTTGTTGATGCTTATGATAAGTTCCAAGGGCAAGTACACAAGCATTTGAACCCAGTCAAAGCTAGAAGGGCATTGGAGGAAGAAGAAAGGAGGGCAAAAGAAGAAGAGGAACAGAAATATGCTAAGGCCACAGTTGAGGATTTGGCAAAGCTCTGTGTGAAAGCCGATGCACCGATAGAACTTATTAGGAAGATGGTTAGGTTGATTGGGTTTACAAATCATATGGGTCGTCCCCAACCAATTACTTTACTAACTGCACTGGAAGATGCTGATATCATTAAGTGGTATGCGGGTATAGGGAGAAGATGGCTGGAATTTTACTGCTGCTGCCATAACTTCAAGATGGTCAAAACTGTTGTGACTTATCACATGAGGTTCTCTTGCATATTGACTCTAGCGGAAAAGCACGAATCCACCAAACAGGAAGCCATGAAACATTATACTAAAGATTTGAAAGTCTTTGATTTAGATGGAAATGAAGAAGTACACTTCCCCACAGAAAGGGAAGTGAAAATGATGGGAGATAAAAATCTCTCTGATCCAAAACCTGTGGATGGGGCGCTATCTTTGGCTTTGATTAGATTAGCTTCTGATGAGCCTCCGTATTCATGTGTCGCTCATTTCTGCAACAGAACTGATACCATTGTTTATCGGGTACGACTACTGCAAAATCACTTGAATGTGAACCCCATGGATGAAAAGAAATGGGTCCCTGGTATGGGTGCAATTAACGAAAGCCTCAACTTGAAATGTTTTCCGGTTTGTCCTGATCATACACATGATTTATACATGGGGAGAATCACCTTTCAGGACATTGATTGTACTTCATTTGTGGAGGTAGACTGAGTTTTACATTCCTCTGGTTCGGTGTGTGATTAGGTCCTAGTCTACAAGGGCCGTTGATGCGTTGAGGTTGAGAATTCTTGCGTCTGCTTAAGCCAGGTGTGTGATTTTTGTACATTATCTCCGCTGTGTATTAAGTAGTAGTGATAACAAGGAAACTTTTCGATAATATATGATTCCGCATCTTACATCTCATTTGTAGACTAGAATTAAGTAGTAAACTAAAACTTCTCACAGGCCGTTTGGATGGTAAATAACTTTGCTGATGAAATAGACCAGCGAAGATTGCTCTCTTTTCCCGAATTTTAAGATTTTGCATACCTCTACTTCAAAAACGGATTTTGCATATGGAAACCCGATTTTGTTTTCGTGTGATGAGGCGTCATAAGTTTCTTGTATTATAAACTTAATTATTTGCATATCTCCTTTGTTGCACTAAACATTAACAGTTGAAGTACTCGGCTCCTTCTGGTTATGAGGTCCCTGGAATGAGAAATTTTTCATTGTGATGGGAACATGAGTGATACACCACATGTTTTTATGCAAGTGGTGGCAAATTTTATTTTTTAAGTTATTAACTTTTTAACACACAAATCCCACCATTTGTATAGTGATACGTGGTGTACCACCTCATGTGCCGATCAACGTCGAACGTCGAATGAATGACTTTTTGGTTCATTCACCATGGTAGTTTGATTGAGACCATGGAAGAAAATGCCGATAATATCGGCGAAATATCGCCGATATTATTGGTTTTTCGCGCAATGGATATTTAAATAGGTATCCAAATGGTTTTCGTCAAAATATCGCGATATTATCGATAATATCGCCATATTTTGGAAATATCGCGATATTTTTTGAACTGCTACTCGGAGAAGAACGCCGGAGCTTCTACAGCTCCGGTCGACTGTAAAACAGGACCTAGACTCCGATCTAAGGGGTCCGAGACTTGTCGGAGGAGGAAGACGAGGAGGCGAAGCAGTCGACACGGACGACAACGTTTTCGACTTGGGGGACGAGGGAGTGGAAGCGGCGGGAAACGACGCAGCAACGGCCGAGGGTGGCGGTTGCTGCTGCGGCGGCGGATTTTGATTCCCGGTGGAAGCCATGGGAGGAGGAGCAACAGATCTATCAATATGTGTGTGGGTTTTGCATGTGAATGAAAAAGATGGGATTTTGATTCCCTGACGGAATGGATTTTAGAGAGAGAGAGAGAGAGAGAGAGGGGCGATCGAGAATTTGGGATTTGCAGAGAGAGTGGGATCTGAAGAGAGTGACGAGCAGGGAGGAGAAAGAGAGACAGCAAAAAATAATTAAAAGTTGTGGGAATGAGGAAGGACTTTGGAGTGAAGAAGTGGGGACTTGGAAGAGACCACTATAAGATAGTAGGAGGTGATTATTATTTGAGATTTTATGAAACGACGAAGTATGTCATTTCGTGTTTTTGACATAATATTTTATAATATTAATATAAAAATTGACGTTAAACTGTAAATTGTCAGTAGTGTTTAAATTATGTCTTCGTGAAAATATCAATATGCAAATTGTCAGTAGTGTTTAAATTTTTCAGTAGTGTTTAAACTTCTTTCATTAATTACTACATATTTTCTACACTCACAATGTTTGCCAGGTCGCTATATAATCAACTTAAATCAGTTAAATCCATCATGCAATGCATTTCCTTCCAATTTTTTGTGATAAACTAATAGATAATTGATTAAATAAACATCCTGCAAAGTTTCAATAAAAACTTTCATGTTTTTCTTACAATTTTTGTGGTTTCCATATTATTTTTATCGATATCGATAATATCCCGATATTTCCATCGATATTTCCGTATTTTTGAACTACCAATATTTCCGATATCATCGATATTTAATACCTTGATTGAGACAACATTCCCGTTTTTCCAGTAGTATAAAACTATCTGGGATCAAAAGGAGCGGGGTAAAGCCATACTGTGTTCTTGCTGTCGATATTTGTTTTCCGGCGAATCCTTGACGTAAATGGCTCAAGATTCTTAGAAGTCTCCCACCCATTGGTGTAAATACATCTTTGTCAAGAAGAAAAAAAAAATCCAAAATAATCTTGAACACAAGTCATGTGCCACAACATGCTTTAGATGGAAAACTTACAGAGTTAAGGTAAGATGACAAATTAATGATTTTGAAAAATTTATATGACAAAGAGCTTAAAAATTTATGTTCATATGACAAACTAAAAAAGGTGTATAAGTTCATGTGATATTTCAAAAATTTAATATGAACTATGAATTTTTTTAATGCATAGAACAAATTGATGGTATGATTACTAAGTAACATAATCATCCAAATGTATGGAACAAATGGACGGTTCACCATGAATATACTACTCGGTACTTATACTGTTGATTTGTTCTATACATTTGGATGCATAAAAATCTCAAATTCGAATTATTTTTTGTATAGGATGATCATCAAATGAAAAATAAGAAATGAAATGGTGTGCTTTATTCACAAAAAATGAGATATGTGCATTCCCTCGTGAGGATGCTAGTATTATCCATATTTTCACAACAAAACTATAGTTTATAAAGAAGCTAGTCACAACAAAATATCTAGGGGTTAAACCTAGGGGTGATTTTCAGTCGGATCGGATTGGAAATAAGCATTCCAATCCCAATCCAAAGAAGTTTCGGGAATCAAATATTTCAGAATAGTATAAAAATTTATTAGAAATTTCAGAATTGATATTATCTCGAAATTTTTGGAACATAATTTGAATCTCCTATATTTTGCAAGACTTTGAAAAATTTCAAACCTTTATGTATCCACCATTCTTCTTCTTTTTTTTTTTTTTTGCAATATTTATAGGCCGTTACGTATGTGTATACTCTTCGTTTTTAATACATAATAGTAAGATTAATATACAAAATGCGAAATAAAGCATACATAAACATAACATTAAGCATGATAAATAAGAATATGCATGGTTTGTTTTACGGAAATTTTATTTAAACTCATCTAATCTCTTTCTATACTCAACTTAAATTTTAAATGTTAATTGTTTATTTTACCCTATTGCATAATTACTATTAAGTACAAAATGAAATTAATAATAAAAACCAAATTTATCAATAGACCCACATTCTATAATTAAACCGTAGCATCACCCTTTGTTTATCCTGAGTTCATCCGACTAAAACACTAATACCTCTTAAGGAGAAAAACAAGCTTTTCTATTGATGGATGGTGATTTTGAAGTTTTTAATCCTCCAACTAAGATATGACTCGATTTATGGATATTTTGTTTGTTTGCTTCTTTGGATTAAATTTCATACTTTTTACATTATATTGTTTTTGTTTTTCTTTGCCGTCTGAATGCGCCCCAAAACACCAATGCAAGGATTTTTTATTGGTATTGCAAAGACATAAAACTTGATTCTTGGTGCAAATAAAGATTGCTCAACCTTAACCACGAACTAGCAGGTGGCATGTCTTGCACCTTTTTTTATTCGAAATAGCTCCAATTTGTTTATTTGTTTATTAACATAGCAGCAAAACACCCAGCCCTATGTCACTTCAAAGTTTCTTAAAAATTACATGAAAATACTCGATTAAAAAGGAATGAACGCTTGCATAACATTCTCTTGGCAAATTCAAGTCTATGGAATGATCTCTTGGATACTAAGTCCATGGATGGGTTGTGGTAGCAGAAAGAAAAAAAAAGTAGCCATCGAAATGCTAATTCTATACGACATATGCAATTATAGAGGGGCAAAGGACGCCTCTTTGAAAGAAAAAAATATTCAATTAGAGATGTTATTTTATAAAGGGAATGGGTGTAAAGATAATTTTACATTTTGAATTGGGTTTGAGAAGGTAGTTTAGGTAATAAATTTGGGTTTAAAGAGATATTAATTCTTTAATAAAAATTAATATGGGTGAAGAGAGTAAGTTGGGTGTAGAAAGAAGTTAGATGAGTTCAAATAAAATTTCCCTTTTTTATAGTACTAAGATTGAGAAATTTTGGGTCGAATAAGTACATTCCAATTTCCATCCAAATAGCCCAACGTGGTTGGGGGTATGGCAATTGAGAATTCCAAATAAAGTGGAAAAATTTTGTTTGGCGATGTTGCAACAATGCATTGGTTGTGCGCTAGAATCTCCAACGAAGACATATTAGAGTGCCTGAGACGTGTGGCATTTGTGCAACGCATACTGAGATGGAGAATCATCTATTATTCGAATGTGAATTTAGTCGGGCATTTTGGTTTGGCATACTGCTTCAACTAAATTTGCGGGAGGTGTTCGGGCAAGAAATCTGGCTAGTGGGCGTTCCTGGCTCGAACACTCAGCTCCCCGAGGAGTTGGCACTTTGGTTGATTGTTGGGCTCTTGCTTGTCGCAATGCTGCAAGAGGAGAACAAAGTTAGTTCTGAAATGTGCCTTTGTGGGGCCTTAGGTATAGGCATTGAGGCTCACAATCAAAACCAACTAAGTGCTTAGGCATGCCACTGCCATCTTTGTATGGCAGATGTAGAACAAGTGTATTTTAAGCCGATTACTTGTGCCCTAAGTTATTTCTGACTTCTTGTTTATCAAAGGATTGTTGTAGATGGGTTAAGTCTACATTACGTTCTTTTCTATGCCTTGAGATCAAGGACCTTTAGTTATCTTGTATGTTTAAAGGGTGAAAGTCCAGATCTGATCAAACATCAGTTTAACTCATTTCCATCCTCTTATGACGATAAAACCATTAAGTAAATCAGATCTGAGAACTAATGGGGTTTTGGGTCATCAAAAGACTGAAAACAACTTGAAAATAAACTGGGGGATGCATTATAACACCAGATCTATTAATTGAAAGACAAAACAAAGAGGGTCGGGCAAGATTAAACGTCTTGCAGTCTCTTCTCTTTGCCGTTACAAAAGGATTGAGTACTAAAGATGATGACTGGAAAGAGTTTATATACGAGAGATCAATACTACAATATTTAGGAAAAGGTAGCAAAGCTTTTACATAGACAAAATATGTCTTTCTAAGGAAATCTAAGGCTAAAAAGGTGCAGAGTCTTGACAAATCACAGCTTTCTGGGTACTTGCTTGGCTGGGAGACAAGTTATATGTTTGTTTGTTTGATTGGTTGAGTGTCCTTGCCTCTAAGCCCTCTTCCTCCTTTTATATATGAATTAACCTAACTTGTGTTGTTTATGTTCTTGCCCGAAAGCAATTGGAGAGTAGGGAACCATCAGTATTTTACATGCTATGCCATTCATAAAGTGCTTTTGGGCCGATAGTTGGTGGATTTCCATCTGTTGTCACTTCCTTTGTAAGCATCTAATCTTTGCATTTAATGAGGAGCCATCATGTTGTCTCGAAGTGGACATC